CGGAAATGGTCCCCCGAAGTGTGTGCGGTAGTGCATTATCCTGCGTGAGGATGAATCTGTCCACTGCTCGTTGTGAAAATGGGATCTGACAAAGTTGTATGTAACTCTGCGAAGTCACATTACCCACATTCAGAAAAACAAGGTCAGTTTTACCTTGATAGCTGAGTTTTACCTTGTAAGCTGACTTTCACGGATGTGTGTAAGATGATTTTTTTAATGACAATCGACGTATGCGAGTGTGGTGAAGAAGCGGAGAAAAATTTTCTGATCCTTGCATTCACGAACGCGACAGCTATGATGGTCCCAATGTCATGGTCTAGGACGGGATCAGCTTACAAGGTAAAACTAATTAACTGATTGAATTAAATTTAACTATAAAATATTGTTTTAATTAATTTTAAAACAACCCGAGCAACATATTCCTGACAAAAAAAATGAAAAATTTGCAGTTGCCCTTATTTTGTTTTGAGTAGTATAGTTTGAAAAGCAACTCCAGCCCTGTCAATTGCGTGTACTATTCCCGTTACCACTAAGTGGTGCGAATTAGTTTTTGATATCTTTAATCATCGTCATTTTTTATATAATACTATTTCTATCATGCACGTATAAGATGTACTTTGTATATTAATAAAGCATAACAATTTTGGCTTTTGCTACAATGCCACGCTTAAGGCCGTAATGACGTATTGGAATAAAGTTTTGCATAATACGTTGACTTACCTGTAATTAAATTGACATTATTCATAATGTCCGAACAGTTTTAAATAAATGCTTATATGACAGGGCAATATGACAATAACTATTGAAAATAGTAAAACAACCAGACTTTATAAAAAATATTTTATCAACTATGCAGAGTAATAAAAAGATGCGTTTGTAATAAAAATATCTTTGCTTCTGTCAAGTTATATCAGCGACAGTAGGTGTGCTAGGAAAGTGCGGCTAGGGAGGCACTTGGGTCTTCCCAAAGCCGCGGATATAGGTATACCTTAAAAAAATAATGTAGGGTTATTATTTCTTTGCTCCCCGCGTCCTGTCAAATTAACCTAAATTATGACACCGCGCAACAACCACGTAGCAATATTGATAATGAATATATATTGATAAATAATGAAGTTTAAATAATTGTAAGTCAAATGAATTGTCCATTTTACATAAATTTCATTTCGCTGGGATTGTATAATATACTGGTGACCTTTTTTACGGTCCGGAAAAAAATAGGGTGTAACATGTGCACAGAGAAGAAACCTATGACACCAACTTAGTGCTCTCAACCACTACGGGCATATGTGTGACATGGACATTATACATGATCTTTGTTTTGTCCATGTTCATCTTAAGACCTATCCGTTGGGAGGCACTATTGAGGTCTTTGATCATAGTCCAGCGATTCTGCCATAAGGACATATTGTCGGCAAATCGAAGGTGAGTGATGTACTCGCTATTGATGATAATACCGTGTCCTTTCCAGTCCAGTAGCTTGAAAACGTCTTACAATGCAGCGGTGAAGAGTTTCGGGAATATAACGTCACCCAGTCTTACACCTCTCTGCAGTTGGATAGGTTTTGTACTCTGGTTCTGTACTCGGATACCCATAGTAGCCCTACTGTACAAACACTTCAGCACTTCGATATATCGACAGTCAACTTGGCACCGCTGAAGAGACTGTAGCACCGCCCAAATTTCGACGGAATCAAAGGCTTTCTCATAGTCCACATACGCCAGGCAAAGTGGCAGATTGTATTCTTCGGACTTCTGTACAATTTTCCGAAGGGTATGGATGTGGTCTATGGTGCTAAATCCTTTTCGGAAACTTTTTGTTCGGCAGGCTGGAAGTCGCCGAGTCTGCGTGCGAGACGATTCGTAATGACTCTCGAAAACAGCACGTAGACGCGGCTCAGAAGGGAAATCGGTCTGTAGTTCTTTAAGAGACCGTTGTCACCTTTCTTGAAGAACATCACCATACTTCTGCTTCACGCCTCGGGAATAGTGCCACCATGGAGGTCGGAATTAAAGAGCTTCTGAAGTACTTCAAGTACCGGTTTTCTACCCGCTTTCAGAAGCTCCGCTGTAATTCCATCCTCACCCGGCGACTTGCCGTTTTTAAGGTGTTGGAGAGACATTCTAATCTCGCTCAGACTGACGTCCGGGATTTCATCGGAATAGTGTCGGATAAGACTTGCTCTTGGATCGTTACTCACACTTGCGTGTGGCTGCAACGATGACGTGTACAGCTGCCCATAGAACCTCTCAATCTCAGGTGTCCCGGAAACGATGCTGCCGCACTCGGTTTTCAGCTTCGACAGTTGAGCCAACTCTCTTTTTGGCAGACAGATCTCTGGCAAAGACTTTGGAGCCTGTTCCCGCTCAATCGCTTCTTCAATACGAGCTATATTGAAGATGCGTAAGTCCCGCCGCATGTATTTGGATATCTGTCTGTTCAGTTGCCTGTATGTTGTCAAATCTGCTGAAGACTGCAGCTTCATTCCCCGTCTAACAGCCTCTCTAACTATTAAAGTGTAATGGGGTTGTCCCACAGCTTGTCGTCCACTGCATTGAAGTCTTCTAGGCACTAAAAACGGTTTTTTAATTCGCTGAAAGTTTTCGGGACCCTGGATCAGTGCACGAGGGGGACGGAGCGTTGACTTCATTAGACGAGACCTCTCCAACTTAACGTTTAGGTTCAGTGTGCCTCTAACCATTCGGTGATCGCTGCCAGTTTTTAGCACCCATTACGATCACTGAGGCATCACTGAACAGTTGGAGTCTGGTCGTCATAATGAAGTGTGGCGTCGCTTATGAAAGAAAGAGTTCATCATAAAGAGTCCCTCTTTCCATGAAGTCGGCGAGCTGCTGGCCCCTTGTTTTCCGTTACCCTATTCCAAATTTTCTTACCTTCAGCTCACCGCTTTCTCTTGTGCCTAGTTTTTCGTTGAATTCTCCCATCAACTCTGTATAGTGGATTTTGGAGGAATGCATGGCTCTAGAAATATCTATCCTCATACAATTTCTTCCACCTCCTCATCGGGATGTGCCCAGGTTGGTGCATAAACCTCTATGACCTTCATCGAATACCGTCTGGTGATTCTGAATATAAGGTACGCAACCCTCGTCGACTCACTCCCAATCTTTACAACGTTGTTGACAAGAGACTTGTGGACGATAAATCCGACACCTCTTTGGGACAGATGGTTGCTCTTCCGGTTATACAACAAGTCGAATTCGAGGATTACCGTGTCCTCCCCCTCTCTCAGGACCTCCGATAATCCTATAATATGCCAGCGCAACTTGTCTATCTCTTCTTCCAGCTCCAGGATCTTCTCCTCAGTCCTCAGGGTGCGTGCGTTATATGTTGCCAGGTCGAGTCGTCGTAGGTGGCAACCACAGAAATCGTAATAATAAGACAATAGAAATCGCATAGATGCGTGACCTTGTCGCCGCTATTATGTGTTGACGAACATGATTCACTATTTTTTTTTATTTAGTTGAGCGGGTAACGTCGTACGTGAATTTATGTTATTATAATGGTGAACTACAGCCTAATAGTAAAAAAGTAGTAAAAACTCATCAAGGACGTGTAATTTAACTAATGAAGACATAAAATTTTATCGGTAAGTAGATTATTTACTAATTATCATTGTTTTAACTAATTTAAATCTATATGAATACTTTACTATGATATTTACCTTTGTAAACTTTCATTTATTACTTTTTGTATTGACAATTACCATTGCTGCTTTTGTTCTACCGTAATACGCGACGCTGACAAACTCGCCAAGCAATGTAATGTGAAACATTAGAGAATGTGCATTGCGTATGTTTATAATACGACTGCAGGTGGCGACATCGGTTTTGGAAGTAATCGAGCGCTAATTAATTTCTATTGTCTTCTTATTACTATTTCTGTGGTGGTAACCAAACGTCCATCGGAGATTCTTAGCACTGCCTGCCCCGCCGTTACCGTGGTCGCTACCGTAGCCAGGAATAGCGGGGCCGCCGGGGACTGGGGGCCGTTTGTTTGTGTCGTTGGTCATGGGGGGATATTTTCCATAGTTGCCACGCTGGGCGAGCGAGTTGGCAACCACAGATTTTTATTGTATAATTGCTGATATCAGGAAGATGCTGCTCATTAAATAAATAAATAAATTTAAATCTATCGATTAAATCATACCCCTACTTTACAGTAAATTTATAATAAATCAATAAATTTATTAGGCATCTTTAATCTTGTCAATTCGCAGGGTCACAGGCTCAAAGGGCAAAGTAATCGTTCAATATTTTTCCAAACATTTAATTCAAAATGTTTGTTTACATGTTACACTTTATTTTTTTCCTACGGTACAAAAAGTCATCCAGTATAATACCGACATTAATCACTCTTGGTTCATAAATACCACAGTTTAGTCTTAAAACTGTGATAATACATAATATGATATTAATTTGTTAAGAAAAGCTGTAAGAATATTACTATTAATACTTACAGATACTATAAATAAGGCGGCCAACCATCTTGCGGGACACGGGGCCGCGGTCGTTCAGTAATAATAGAACAATACCGCATTGCAATAATTATGAAAAGATTCCCGTAAAACGTCTAACATGTCCCACATGTCTTCAAGTCTACTACCTACTAATAAATTAATAAAATACTTTATAGTCATTCTAAAATTGCGAAGCAGTCTAACGATCTTATTAAAACACAAATCTATAGTGTGATGTTCAAAATGCATGAAAAACCAATAATACTTTTGAATACACATAAAAATATATGTTGATACTATGAATGTTTCCATGCTGCAATGCTACAACTTCAATGTTCTACCCTAGGACTGACATCTGCAGGACTTTAAGGTCAATTTTATTATGGTCTTATGCATAATAATTAAAGTGAAACCATGTATGCATTCAAAATGTAGAAAAATCCAGAGACTACATAGATGGCAGCCCTAATTGAATCATGCAGTATACTATCATTCGAAAAGCAACCTGAAATTACGTACCAATACCGTAACATTTCGAGGGTAGTGAAGTCTATTGGGAGTCCTGTCATCTCAGCCGAGAGGGCACTATTTAAAAATATATTAAATTTAAATTTACCTATAAGCAATAATAGTTTGTAATTGTTATTCAGTATGCTATTCAGTGTCTAAGGTAAGGTAATGTTGCTAAAATTATTTGTTCTCTCTTTCATAAATCATAATAGTCATTAATTTAGTAATATATTATTTTCTTATTATATAATATTATAAATATATACCCATTAATTCTAGCTTCGTGGTGTTTCGTGCCTTTATCCTTGGCCCAGGAGACAATGTAACGTCTTAAGCTGCCACTAGAGGCACCCACTGCCATTAATTTCTCATGTATTTTTTCCCATACTCGTGGTACGGCAAGGAACCTGCAAAATATTTCGTATTTCATACATCTGCTACAAATATATTATTAGAACATTTATAACTTAACGTGTTATATAATATTTAGTATTATACAACGCATACCTACTATAAAATCGTTATCAAAATTAAGCTTCAAAAGGTAATAAATAGTAATACACTCTATAATATAAAGTACCGGGATAATAAATCCTTTTTGTATATTTATTTATTTATAGGATAGAGTGACAAACGAGCACACAGTCTCAGTCTCAGTCATGGTAAGTGGTTGCGGCGGCCCATAGTCATCTACATCTATCCTCAATTACAAATCAAAATGCGTTGTCACGCGTGAGGACTAAGATGGAATGCCTCGTTTCAAGTAAAAAGGGTCTCCGGTTCTCTACACTAACCATACAAAATACAGCAGCATTAAGCTACTATTTCACGCTGGTATTCTGTGAGAGCGTGGTCCCTCCCCGGTCGAGCCGACCCATTCGTGCTACAACTATACTTACTACTAATATAACTGCAGCATGGCTCTACCACGTATGAATACACATATATGTATTTAATACGAATAAAATCATCTGGAGGTGTCCAGTATCTTTTTGTCTGTCGGACTTGTATATTCTATAAATTATAGGAAATTATTAAAGATAGATTCTAAACAATATAGGTACGCTTGAACTTGTGCGGCTGCGATGATTATTGGCGATACTGCCAATAATATGGTTACTTTTATATCCCAAACCGCATCAACCCACAATCAGAACCGGCAATGGATAGGTATACTTCATAGAATCTAATATGTACATAGTTAACAAATCGGAGCTCAATTTAAAATGCACAAAAAATTACTGAAAATTCTCAATCTTCACGAATGCTGTCAGGCTTTTTAAGGCAAATCTGATGTCACAACATCTGCACTGCGTTAAAGCCCAGCATTATTTTTCATCAGATTAAAGTATGTTTCTATTAGTCTAGTTCAAACACCTTACAAATGTGTTTAATTTACCAGACATACAAGTTTTCTAATGAATAAACCATCTCTTAAAATTACGATTATCAATACGAATCTCATCTGTAAGCAGCCATGGGTGAAATTAAGCATAATTTTATCGTATCTGAGTATTTTTGTTTCAGTCTCCTACCTTGTCGGTCGAACTTCCTTCAGAGTTTCGATCAAACTGCCCTTCAGCGCATCAGGCTGCGCAAAATACACTGGAACGCCGTTGGTCAAGGTTGTATACATGTCCACTACCTACGAAACACGTAAAAAACTAAAATAGGTTCATAACAAATGTTTGTGATACAGTGTGTGCACAACTTATATCATACTTTTGAACCTATTATAATATTCAATTTGACGTTCACTAACTGTTTGAAAAGTTATAAAACGGAAGTTCTTATCTAAGCACTCAATCTTCAAACTTTAAACAAACCGTCAAGCATCCTCAAACCTCTAGCTGCAATTATTGTGTGAGTTGCAATCATTCATAATAACTAATTCAAATTGTTTTGATTTTTGGTGATTCGATCTATCAATCATTTTTATTTTTATATATGTAGATTAAGGGTGACAAACGAGCACACAGTCCACCTGATGGTAACTGGATGCTGTGGCCCATAGACATCTACATCTATCTTCTATTAAAAATCAAAATGCAGATTCGTGCTCACCCATGAGTACTGAGATGGAATGCCTCATTTCCAGTAAAGATGGGTCTCCGGTTCTCTACACTCTCCACACGAAACACAGCAGCATTAGGGGTCTTGTACACGGTAAGAAAAGTCGCCGGGTCTATGCAAGAATTCGTCTCGTTTCTACACACGAACTGTATGCAATTCTCCGGCGCTGACATAGAAAAAAATCTTGTCTGCGCTAGACAAGACGAGATCTGTCTTGTTGCGGCGACGGGAGAGGCTTAGTAGATGAGTTACTTCAGATAATTTGAGTTTTTTTACATGTGTGCACGTGCTTACGTACTTTTTTCATTTTTATATATATATAATGCAATAATAATTTTTTGCTTCGTAGTTAACATGATTCTATCCATGTGACTAGTGCACTATACCCTACGCACGACTGACCGAAAATAATCTTATTGTTTACACGTCTCTATTTATGTTGTCTGAAGCAGACAAGACAAATTTTCGTGGCTAGATCCGACAAAATTATTGTATACATGATGAATTGGTCTTATCTGCCGCAGACACGGTGAAATTTCTAACAAAGGTCATTAAGCTGCTATTATACGCTGGTATTCTGTCCCATGACCCATTTGTGCTACAACCATAATATGACTGCAGCGTGGCTTAATTACTTTTATAAAATATTAATCTCAAAACAAGGGAAGAACTTTGTTCATAGACCGCTGAAAACAGATGCATTCATTCTTTTTGAAATATGCGATTAGATTCTTATTCATAGATTCATTAGATTCTATTTTTATACGACGTTAGAGGAATTACAATCTAAAATATAAAGCTGTTTGTTGCTTAATATAAGTTTTGGTTGCAACTTAGTCGTTAGTTGACTAATGGCGTGGTGATTTGCCAGGGTCATCACGATTTAAATGCAAATATTTATGCAAAAACACAACCTTGTCTGCGGGTCGTCGAGACTAATAATACGTCAAATATAATTTGTTATATTTTTCTTATATATAACAAATTATATTTGACGTATAATCTATTATATTTTTCTTAAATCTATTCATGCGTCCCGTACGTACCATAGAGTTCTAACGACGTTTTCTTCTTGAATTTATTGCTTGAAATTAATATATAATTTGAAAATAACTACTTATGTACTACGTTCATTTTAATCGCATTTTTATTTTTTATAGAATCAGGATGACAAAGCGTGCGACATTCAGTGGATAAAAGTCACTTTATTTTGAACATTTTGCTTATATTTCTGATTCAAAACAAAAAAAATATTTAAATAAAAATGTAGCCGATTAATCTAATTTAATAACACGCCTTTCAAATTATCAAAAAATATTATAATATAGTTTTTGTTTATAAAAACGAGAACTAGAACATATAAGATTTTTCTCGGCTATTATTTTTTTAATCTTAATTAATATCAAGAATTTTAAAAAATCTATTAAATTATGAATTTAACTTAGTATTTTCATGTATGCACATATTATATTTTTTCCGTACATATACTATTTCAAGAATTATCAATTCTCGAGCATCTGGAATATGGAATATTATTCCGTGATATATTCCGTAGTCACTAAAATACAATATTTTTGTCTAAGCTGACCTTAAACTGTTATTTTTTACTCTGGTATTCTGTGAGAGCGTAGTCCTGCCCCAGTAGAACCGACCCATTCGTGCTACAACCATAATATAGCTGCAACGTGGCTAGAGCCATATAACGTCCGACGTTATTTTAAAAATAATTGGTTAAATATTTACATAGTTTTGAATATGATGTTAATATGATGTCATGTTACATGTTATAGTATAATGTTCAACAAAAGTTTTCATGTAAATTTTCAATTAAAATCATAATAATATTTGGTACCTGGGCAGCGACGTGGCTTAGAGGCAGGAAAGAAATGAGACGATCTTCGGTCGGCTTCAAGTCCCGCACTCGCTCACTGATCGAGAACGCGTCCCACGTCAGATTATCGTGCGACAGCATCACGGCTTTTGGTGGACCGACAGTGCCGGACTAAAAAATAAATAACAATTTAACGGACATTCCTTCATTTCTCTTTACAAACTCGGCATATACACTTAGCGGCACGGAATGTGTGCAATGTGCATAAACTAAACTAAACATAAACAAATTGATACTAGGCGATTTTGGTGCCGTGAATGAGAATTTCAAGTGGCAGATTGTCAACACGTTTCTTTTGTTGATTTAGCAGGGTAAGCATAAAAAAATTAATTTGTTTAATTTCTGTGATTGCTTGTGATTATTTTTTTTTTCATTTATTTAAAGGACCACAAACAGATTCACAATTAAATATATATAAAATATTCAAAACAAAGAAACTAAAGTAATTATCATTATGAATCCAACAGCGCTGGTCTCATTATACATATAATCTAGTGTTAAAGTGGAGCTCATCTTACATTATAACAAGTGTTAGTTAACTATTTAAGAAATCATGAAGTAACTAATAAACATTATTAATACATGTGTGTGTGTGTATGTGTGTGTGTGTGTGTGTGTGTGTGTGTGTGTGTGTGTGTGTGTGTGTGTGTGTGTGTGTGTGTGTGTGTGTGTGTGTGTGTGTGTGTGTGTGTGTGTGTGTGTGTGTGTGTGTGTGTGCGCGCGCGCGTGCGTGAGTCCACGTGCGCATGTGTGTGTGTGTGTGCATGCGTGTGTGTGTGCGTGTGTGTGTGCGTGTGTTTGTGTGTTTAAGAGTGGAGGTAGGTGTGTATGTGTTATTGCGTGTGATTTCGATGAGTTATGTGAACAATCAGAGCTGGATGTCTAGACAGTGCCAAATAGACAAGGCATCACAAGCCTGGCTGCCCTACAGCAGCTGCAACCTTGGGTTCGGAGACGTGTTTGGCAGGTACATGAATCTACAACCAAGCTTGCGATATACAGGTAGAAAATAAAATATATTTGCCTTAGTAACTACCATAAAGGAAGAAGAAGAAGTATTAGCGTAAAGTCCTGTTTACATTTTGAGAAGTGACAAGTGCAAATGAGAAATTACAAGTACACAGTTACTCATCGCTTGTCACTGCCTGTTCACATGCACTAAGCACTTGTCATTTGTCAGTTACACTTGCCACTTCTCAAAATGTAAACCAGGCCTTAGTTTGTCACTAGAACGCACGAAACACAGGTAAGTTAAAATTTAATGTTTAAATGCACCATGCATTTTATTGTTGCCTTAAGAGCTCCAAATGGCCGTGAACGTGTGTGGAGAAAGCGTGGAGAGAGGTTTCTGCCAATCACCACCAGGCAAACCGTAAGTTTTCATAGTGGATCAGTAATGGTTTGGGGAGGGATCAGTACAGATGCACGTACAGATTTAGTGGTAGTTGAAGGTCGTTTAACGGCAGTGCGATAAGTTGAAGAGATCCTCCAAGGTCATGTCACATGACTCATGTGGAATTCATTGGGGGCGAAGAAATTAAGTTAATGCAAGATAATGCCCGAACATACACCGCACGATGCGTTAATGATTATCTTTCGGAAGTGAGAATTTTTAAATTGGAGTGGCCAGCACGAAGCCCAGACATGAATCCCATAGAACATGTCAGGGATCCAGTCTCAACCCTCCAGAGACCCTCAGTGCATTGAAACCCGCTCTGGAGGTCACTTAGGGAGAAATACCCCAAGTGTAGTATAAAAAACATAATCCACAGCATGGCCTGGTCGTAAGCAGGCGGTTATCAAGGCCAGAGGTGGAAATAACCGCTACTTGCATTGAAATCCATTAGCTTAAATTTGTTAAATTTATTAACAAACATTTGTTAAATTTAGAGCTTAATGTCTTTTATTTATTTAATAAAAAATTTTATAAAGTTACCATAATTTTTATTTATTAATCATTTGCAATTAAAATTTAAATAAACAATAAAGTTAAAAATTCCGTATTGCGGTTCATTTTGATAATAACCCTCATAGTGCGTTAGCACCACATTCCGTGCCGCAAGTGTATCATCATTATATCCTTAGGTAACTACACTGATAACCATGGAGCGAAATGATGTAATAGATACTTACTACTATACAATAGAAAACTTTGATATAAAAAAACAGTAATTCATAAGTGGGTATTGGCGGTAGGTATAAGAATTAGAGATGGGCCGAATATGGATTTCAGCGAACCGAATATTCAGCCGTACATTATTCGGCAGGATCACTTCGATACCTAACCAATTTATGTCGAAACTTATTACCATAAATCGCGCGAAATTAGCGTCGGCCCCTGCCCCTCGCTCCCTCGCTCCCCCGCCACACCCGATATGTTATTTCATCATCTAGTACTGAGCAAATTGCCGGGACATGCTTATGTTCTGAATATAGGTATTTGTGAGAAAAAAAGGTATTTCACTGTGTTATTACTTAGTGAAAATTGGTAATTATATGATAAAAATGAGTGGCAGAAGATCTACTATTTGGACTTATAACATTAAAAATGAGTGACAGAAGATCTACTATTTGGACTTATTTTAGAGAAACTGACAAACAATGAAACGTGTAAAATGTATTAATGTAATGTAATGTTTCCTTGTTTGATTCCAAAAACATTTTATCAGGCTTTTTATTTGCTATAATTGAAAATAAATCTACAGTGCTTCAAAAACATAAGATTTAACCCATAAATAAATTATACTTTCAACAATAAAATTATGAAAGGCATGGCATTACTCAATTCGTAAATTTAAATACAGTGGACTAATGATAGTGTATATTATAAAGGACTGCAGTGGACACTGAGTACCACTTTAAATAATGGTGATTTAGCCGAATATTCGGTAACGCTGCCGAATATGCCGAATACCGAATATGAAACGAATATTCGGCCCATCTCTAATAAGAATACTTATTATGCCAATAAGTTAAGTAGTTAAGTAAGAGGCAACAAAGAGAAACAAATCAAGAGATGGAGAGCAGCGTCTTTCTAATAACAAATGCAGTTGCCAACCTGGCCGCCTGGCTGCAGGCCTGGCTGCTAAACGTGGAAACTACAGCAAATATCAAACCCATGGGGCAATCTATGGAGGGGGGCCTGCTCATATGTTCAGGAGCGGACGTTTGATAAGCTATAACGGTAACGGTCTAATCTCTTACACTCGAACACGTACGCTTACGTAACTCAAAGAGTATACAATATACATAATATGTACAGATTTTCCTATGATGTTGTTTCATGTATTTTTTTTTTACTTAGCTGTTTTTTTAATTCCGCATACTCAACATTATAAAATAATAAAAGTCTGACGATGTTATTGATAAAAATATCTAGTATATTTAAAACATGAGTGATAAACGCTAGAAATTTTATGAGTCTAATAAGCGGCAACTTCTAAAAACAAAGCTAATAAGGACAAAATAATGGTTTGTTTTTGTCAACGATATTTATTGACGGTAATAATAATTTGAAAATAGATACTTCTTTATTAGTCTGAGGGATACATCGATATTCTAGTGAACTACTATGACTCGTTTTGAATTGTCTAATAGATATTTTACAAGGGTATTGTTACCAGCACTTAAAAAAGTACTCTGTTGATGTTGGTAAGACTGCAATATAACTAAAGTAGGTAGGAGCCTAATTAACTCCTACTTAAATATTCAAAAACATTTAAAATGTTGTAGCAACAAAAAAGGTCAAAAATTAGCGCAACGGAGTGCGCGTGCGAAGTTCGCTCGATTGTATATATAATTGATCGAAGCGTGCGAACATCAATTTTATTTTATTTATAAAAATACTGGTTTTAAACTTATATGATATAATAAATATTCCCTACCCCATTTATTTTATATGGCATTTTGTTTGAATTTCCATTTAGTGTAAAAAGGTTGGAGCTGTTAATAGTAATGATGCACTATATTTTTATTCTCCGTGTTCTGGTACGAGTTATATGTTTTGCTACTTCCTCTTGTTTTCTATATTCCGTGACATAATCCATCCATAAATAACTTAATCTTAAAAAATAATTGCCAATTGCTGTCATATCTTGTTACGAATTTATGATAACGAATTTGTTTGATTTACGATTACCTACTAATACTTTAATACCATGCAAACGTATTATAAAATATAATTATGTAAGTATATTAATAAAAAATATTATATTATGTAACGTATTTAATGATTATTTATGACGTGAGGGAATAAGCTGTTGTTCAGAATGAGCGTAAGCTATATATGGTCAAGTTTAATTTAATATAGGAAAAATTTTGCTCAAAAATAACGTCTTCAAAAATCATTTATTTAAAAGCTCTATGTAATGAAATATTAAGTGCAAAAAAGTAACTTACGGTATATACTAAAGTACAGCATTCATTAACAGCCATCGATTTTAAAATGTTATCTAATTCTGTATCAGATTCCTTGGCACCAATTTCCATTATCTGTTCCCACTGTAACAAAAAAAACTTTTTGCTCATTTTAATTATGATTTTTTTTTACAAATAAAATATTGGATGCTATAAAACTGAGCCTTAAAATATATAGATAAGAAGTATTTAAGCCTGAAGATAGGTCACAATATCAATTTAAAAATGAAATAAATGGTAAAATAATTGGCTCATTCAAATAACAGAACCAAACTGGCCTAAGTTATTTGCAGTTCCTTTTTCATTTTTTATAGGATAGAGTGACACACAGTCCACCTGATGGTAAGTGATTGCTGTGGCCCATAGACACCTACATGTATCCTCGATTACGAATCAAAATGCAAATGCGACAACACTATTTGCCTATTTTAATGGTAGAAGTGCCCGAAGACATTTTTAAATTTAAACCGTACTTATTCGCACTCAGTACTATGGTCATTCCATTAGTCATGGGGTGATATGACAACTTGGTAAGACATTCAGGAAGCCGATGGATGCAGGTGGTTCTGGACCGTGCTTGAACTTGTGAAGGGCTGTAATGATGATGATGATGATGATATAAGTTGGAAATTATGGTTTAAAAATTTCTGATTATTAACTATTTCATCAAAATAATCATTTAGGAAAATTGGAAAAAAAATACATTAACAGGTACCATTTGAAACTGAAAAACAGGTGTAAAAGAAGCCGAAAATCGTGATATAATTATTTTAACCCGAACAAGTTATGAACAATTTAATAAGTTAACAACAATTTAATTAGTTAAGTAGGCGTGAGGCTGATGTAAAGAAACACAATGTGCTATATTACTTATTTCTTTGCACTTTTGACCGATTTTTAACCAGGTACTTACATAAAAATAAATAAAAACTCACGCTATAAACTCCCGGCACGGAAGTGTCCACGGGTCCTTCCCATTGTACTATAGCTTTTAAGTGCTTGAGGCGACTGCGTATTGATAATATTTTATCGAGTTGCTTTTTATCCTGCACTGCACATATATTAGCGCGGGAGGTCTCCAAGCAGTGGTAACAGGCTTCTGGGGAATTTGTTGTATAAATACCAGCTGCATAACCTCTAAAATAGATAAGCAATTAGGATATAAAACTAAATAAGAAGTGTTTATTTTAAAGTAGAACAATTATTTACCCAGCATGAATAGCAGCGAGGTCGGCAATATACCATTCTTCCGAATTAAAGCCAAGTATGCACACCGAGTGGTGGCGTTCCAAGCCTAATTTCAGGAAAGCCTTTGCTATCGTACGCACACGCTCCTGGTACTGTCTGTAAAAACGCGACATTGTAAAAGCAAAGTTTTTCTACTATAGTATAATAGATAAAAAATGTACTCGTGACATTGAAAATAATAATAGTAAATCATTCTTTACAGATTGTAAAAGCAAATGTTTTCTACTATAGTATAATAGATAAAAAATATACTTAGACTCGTAACATTGCAAAATAATAATAGTAAATCATTGTTTACAGATTCAATGTACTAGAAAGGTCAAGTACCTAGTCTTCCATGAAAAAAAAACAAGAAATTTTTATTTAATGTTTATTCGGCCGTTTACAAAAATAATTGTTTCAAAAGATATTCGTAAATAATTATTCATAAAATTCTTTCGCGGTTTTAGTTATTCCGCAATGTGTTGATAGTAAATACGTAGATACACCTGTAATTAACTTTAAAACAAAGAAAATAATGCTTTGTAAGACGACGTAACGCCTTATAGCCTGTGATTCCTCTTTTTATATATAATTGCTCCTAGCTTGTAATCAAACCGGCTTTCTTATCCTTCAAACTGGAAAACAATAGTGGGTGCATTTTTGCCTAACGCAGATATAAGAACGATGGTGTACTCAGACGGGCTCCTGGTCAAAAAGCCTCCCTTTAGAATATATTCCATTAAGTTGTAAGTTATAAATAATTACTTATGCTAGTTTCTATTCATAAACAACGTAAAACATTAATTTATCTTAAACTGACTTGTAAGTAATTTTCTGCCACTGTCCATTCCTTTTTGTTGCTAATGCTGTACCATCAGGATATCTAGCGGTTGTTCGATTGAGGAGGCCTGGTACAGAAATAGGAGGTTCGGCTGCCGGTCCTCGGGTTTGCATTCGAAGTTTAACGTAGCCTCCCGGCACACATGATATGTAATCATCTGCTGGTATGATCTGGTCGGGGCCTACAAATAAAGAATTCTTGAAATGCATTGTAAGTTATATTCCTATTGTTGAGAATACGACGAAAACAATCCACATATGTGTGCCTTATCTACAATAAAATTATTCTTCGTTAACATTGTAGAGGTTAAATGTACATAATAATATATTGCTCTTCCGTATTACTGTCCGTGCTATTTATAATAACAAGCAATTTAATTATAATGTATATATATGTAACATCCTGTATTACACGGTCATCTGCGTTAAATCATTCCTAGTCAAAAAGAAGACTTAAGTTTATCCACTTATATGTATGTAAACTAAGAAATATGCAAATGGTAAAATTAAATTTTTTTACAATTGACTTGAATATAAATAAAACGAGAGCATCATTAATGTAGACCAAGTCAATTAAATACACATTATAAAGGATAATTCCGAAACTACTGATCAGATCTTGATCAAATCTATATGGGACCACAAGAGAAGCACCAGCTTTCAAATAAAGAAAGAATCAGTCCAGAAAATCGATTCACCGGAAAAAATTTCTGAGGTGACACACTAAAAAAATACAGTCGAAATGAGTACCTCCTACTTTTTGTGTTTTTATGAACGTGAGTGTAATTAACACTAACATATGCTTGCCATTTTGGACAATTTGTTAATGCAAGTATAATGCAAATGTTAGTTACTATAGATTAAGGACGACATGCGAGCACACAGTCCAAGTGGATGCTGTGGCCCAAAGACTTCTATATCTTTCTTCAAATAAGAATCAAAACACGGATGCGTTGTCACTCTTGAGGACTAAGATGGAATGACTCGTTACCAATAAATAGGGTTCCGGTTCTCTACACTCACCGTGCGAAACATAGCGTTATTCCGCTGTTGTCCGTGTAACCCGTGACAGCATATTATGCATTATTTTTTTATTACCAACTTACCATTTAAGTACGCCTGATTTATTCCATTGGACATTTGCATTTTGTTCACTTTGACTATTTCTTCGCCGTTTTCCATTTTATAAGTGGACGTTTCCTAAAATAAAAAATAAAAACCTATATTATTACGTATTGAACATTGGAAAGATGCTGGACAGTGGCGTCTCCAGGTGTAGGGAGAATATGCTTATGATAATTGTTATGCTCTAGTTTCTGGATGTTAGCGCTGTTAGTCTATACGACTCTTACAGCTTCATCTGACTCAGGATTCGCAGCCTGCAAGGCCGCGAGCTAATTAAAAAAAGGGAAAGGCAATGAGGTGAGGATGATGATAAATGGTTTATGATTTGGTATTGTTACCAATCATCATGTCGCCTTTTTAGGCGTTTTTGAGCTATCTAACCGCTGTCCGAGGGGGGGAGGGCGGACCCCCGTCACTGACTGCTTAGCTCGTGTCGGTCGATCGGTTATGCTTAGTGGACGTTAGTGGATTCCACTACCAGACATCCCTCACCTTTGATACCACTACTCGGTGCCGATCTGGGTATTTTACGGTTACGGTAAACGTGATAGTATCGCCTCCTTCGACACCCATGGTATGAAATGCGCTTATAGATTCTATTACATGATACGGTAAAATTTTCTTATTAGCTCATATGTAAGATTTCTGTTGTTGATGTTCTGCTGATGAAAAGTTTCAGCGTCGCTTGAAATGCTCGTAGTGTTCTCTTTTTAAATGAAAGGAGGTCAAAGTCGAAGATATGAATAAAAAAGTTATATTACTTTTGCTTTAAACCTATACAATATATATAAATTGTAAAATATAAATTTCCCATTACGCGAGCAACCCGGGTTCGATTCTCGCCGGCACCAATGAAATTGTTAATTGTAATTTTAAGTGCTGATTTGAAACCTGCATGTCTGAGAAATAATAAAAAAAAATTCGAAGATATGTGTGTTCGCCAACACGCATTGAGACAGCGCGGCGGACATTTCCTTGCCCTACAACTCTCAGAAGTGAGAGGAGCCCAGCAGTGGGACTGTAAGTTTAACTTTAATATATAACTCTCAGCGAGCTATGGAGAGGACTATGCTCGGAGTTTCTCTGCGTGATAGACTCAGAAATGAGGATATCCGCAGTAAAACCAGAGTGACCGACATAGCCTAACGGATTAGTAAGCTGAAGTGGCAATGGGCCGGCCATATAGCTCGAAGAACCGATAACCGATGGAGAAGAAAGGTTCTCGAGTGGCAGCCTCGTACCGGTAGGCGTAGTGTAGGGCGACCCCCCACTAGATGGAGTGACGACCTGGTAAGACATGCAGGAAGTCGATGGATGCAGGTGGCTCAGGACCGTGCTTTGTGGCATTACTTGGGGGAGGTTCAGCAGTGGACTTGTGAAGGGCTGTAATGATGATGATGATGATGATATAACTTGTTAAAATTTTTGCTATACTAATATATTTTCAAAAAACTCTCCACAAGTATCTATACAAATTTTCACGCGTTTGAACTAATTTTTGAAACACTTTCCAGTACGCCTCGGACATCTTTTCCACGGCGTTGTCGAACGCTGTGCTGCTAGCGCATTTTTCGACGGCGGATACTATCTCTTCCAACTATTTTTTTTTTTTTGGAAATAATAGAAATTATACTATGTCAAATCATGTCTGTAAAGAGGATGCTGATTCAAATGGTAGTGACTCAAAAAATGTAATCGATGTATTGTTCCTGAAAACCCTCGTTTTGAGCGAAGGTTACGCGGTCGCGTTGTCACAGTGGAGCTCACAGCCGTGATTATTTCTGGCAAAGAATGTTAGTATACCATTCAGCATTATTACTACTTACGTCGATTTTGTAAATGATTGATACCAGATATCCCGTCAAAGTGAAAAAACTATCCATCAAAATCTTACCTATGTGAAGTTGGCAACTAGTTACACAATTATTAATTTTTATGAACTCCGTTCGATTGTACTAGGTTTGTATGTACAACCGATTTTGAAATCGTTTGTACCTTAAGGGGTAAGAGACATGGGGATGCGAAAATATGGTCCGCAACCTCCTTCTACTTACTAAAATGGCATCTTGAAGAGTTATTTATTTACTTTATAGAAGAGGGGGCAAACGAGCATGCGGCTCACCTGATGTTAAGTGACTACCGCCGCCCATGATCAACCGCAACACCAGGGGAATTGCAGGTGCGTTGCCGGCCCTTTAGAAAGGAGAAACGTTTAATATATATATGTATATATATATATATATATATATATATATATATATATATATATATATATATATAATAACGTATATATAATAACGTTTGTACCGAATTGTACCGCCACTAGGAATGAAAAAAATCCATTTGTAAGGAGCGACGATTTTTTTGCGAAACGAAAAGTTAAAAATACATTAATAATTTGCATAATAATAAAATTAAAGAATTCGATGGTACAAACGGGTGCGAACCACAAGAATGTTGAATTCTATCATTTTGTAAAATACTTGAATCAATCGAAAACCTGAAAAATAAAAATAAATGTCTTATCGATGTTTCTCGCAGTAAAATAAGGTTACAAACAATATACTCAGCGGTACAAACGGTTACAAACGATGGGAAACCAAATCCGACTCGCCAGTCTCTTATATAGTGAAATAGCAGGTAGTGCTGAAAATACATGTCTTACCAGCGTTTCTCGCAGTAAAATAGGGGTACAAACAAAGTACTCAGCGGTACAAACAAGTATGTATAAACAAAATACTCATCGGCACAAACGATTTGAAACCGACCCCGACTTGTCTAAGTCTTTTTTATCTGTTAAAATATCTGGTGGAGCTGAAAAATCTGTCTGATCGTTGTTATGTATGATTGATTATGTTGTATGTTTTGTATATATGATGTATTGATCGTATGTCATATCGACAATGAGACGGAGTACTCACCGAAGTAAGAGAATACGACCGATGAGAAATCAAACATCTCATTTTCAGTCATTCCATCTCGTTTAGAGATAAGAGTATTTGTACCGTCGAGTACAGTGGTTTTCGGCTGTAACGTCGATGAAGGGACCACTTTATTTTAGTCCGTTATATCCGGAAGTCGTTACAAGTAAAGGTAAAGAGATACAGACACATACACATGTATAGTTTATATTCATTTATTATTGAAAATATTTGCACACATAGTTATTCACTGGTACATTTCAAAATGCTACTCAGAATATCACTTTGTTACTGAACCATAAATTTAACTCCGAAACGCACACGCTTCCCTACCTACTTAGCTGATATACATAAACAAAAGGTAAAAATTTGAAGATTATTAAATATATAAGTAGAATACGCTCACCTTTCTGTTAGGAATCGTATTTCAGGTTTATTTGTTGTTTACACTGTCTACCTATTCTTTCGGACAAACATGCCGATTCTCTATGAATGGCCTCGCAAGTTGCATGCGTTGGGCATCACAGAACACACATAGGTGCGAAAATATGGTAGGTCGAATGATCGACTGACCATATTTTCGTTACTTAGGTGAAGTATCCTGACTATGAATTCAGAATAGGTACTTGACCTAAGTAACTTAATTACCATTGGGCAATGTATTTTTTTACTCTTTATTAACAGCCCTTAGTAACCACGGAAAGTCCGCCGTGACGTGGGAAGGGGAAAAGTATATAAAAAAAGGATAAAGTGTAATTTACCTTGCGTGCGCGATTTACCTAATTAATAATAACATAATAGCATACATACTATTAAACGTCAGCAAGCAGTCAACATCAAAGGAGCGCAACTTCTGTACGTAGTACTATTATTAATTCTGTGATAAAATAGTGATAAAACAACCAATTTTATCCACTACTGTAAAAACTTTTATTGTTACGACAATAAAGTGCTTAGTGCACAGCATAAATCTTTAGATAAAAAAGAGATTACGATAAAGTTCTTTGCTCAATTATGCCCCTTGGAGACTTAGTATTTTTATTAAAATATTTATTCTTATCGCACACAGAGACTAAGTTACCAACAGGAAATTATTTTATTTAGAGGTCCATTTAAATTTTATTGAACATAATTTTTTCTTAAATATGCGTCTTTAACATGCGTCTTCTCTGTAGACGAGATCATGTTATATTTGGAGTATTTATAAGTAAGCAATGCTTATTTATACTCTAAGATTTTATTCCTTTATGATCGTCACACGCGGTCAGTTCAATTGATTATACCAACTGATCAGTTCAAAGTAGGACTGTTAATATTTTTTTTAAATATCCGATTTTCAATATATCGATAATTATAAATATATCAATATCGGAGTTCTATGTATTATAAATTTATTTATCGATATATCGAAAATCCGATATTTAAAAAAAATATCAACAGTCCTAGTTTGAATTGATCAGTTGGAATGATCAGTTTAACTGACCGTGTGTATCATCCATTAGGCGCTTAGCAGGCAGATAGGGAATCGCAGTAGCATATGTTTGGCACATGCATATTTGACTTTGATACTTCTTACCGTTACTACGTAGTAATAATATATGTTCTTTGCCGTCACTGACTTTTTATAATCTGGCACGTTAGTATTGTTTAATTAGTGACTGTGTGAACCTACTCTACATTCTAGAGTCCGTTCAAGGACGAAGTGCTTATATGATATTGCTCGATGGGGCCGCATGCAGATAATAAATACATTTATCTGTTGCAAGCATGAAAATTGTCTAGTCATATAAGTTAAATTTTAAAGTAATTACGAAATTAATTGTTCTTATCAATGCATTGTTGATGGGCTGATAAAGAAGATATACCTATACATTTTCTTTAGCTTCTTCATCAGCGAACTAACTATTCAACATTATGTCGCCAGAGATTTTGTTTCAATGCTTTGTATTCTTAAGTCAGCTAGAGCCATAGAATACTATAATACACGGAACGGCTGTGAACCTTATTTTGTACGAGGATTGGCGTCGCCAAACCCGATTAGCTGTGTTGATAGATTGAGTAAATTTACACATTTTAGACTTTTGATTAATGTGCAAGAACATCACTAAAAATCGTTTAAATCTTAACACATATTTATTTGTAAATAGGGTGCAA